AAAAATTTGTACTGAATTGAATAACCAAATGCAAGTAAATTTCGGTTAAAAAATAGAGTATTTGTAGAAAATAAATTCAAAACTAACTATCCAATATAATAAATTTTCACATAATTCACACTACTAAAATTTCATTATAAATAAAAATAAATAAAAAAGATATATATGATTGGTTGTTGTGCCCTATAAAAAAGATTAGCCATCATTCTAATCCAAATAGACCACATTTGGATTTTCTATTATCATAAAAATAATATAATTTTGATTGATAAATTGATAATTCGTTACTAACATATTACATATCAACAATTACTTAGAGAAAGTAAGATATGAAAGAAAACAATTTATAAATACATACTCAATATGTGATCTGTGAGTGATGGATTACGAATGGAAAATTCATAATTGGGGCTTGAAGAGCAAGGAATTCTCATATAGTTTGGACAATGAAATGTTTAATAATTATGAATTTGATTAATAAAAGATTTAAAGATTGCAATTATGGATTAAATTTATTATTTTCAATAGAATTTTTTTGAAATACAATACTAGTTTAAATATGTATTATTAGGTTTGAAAAAATTTAATTGTGTAAGTAATTTTATTTTATTTTTATATTTTCTAGATATTAATATTCATCGACTTAATAAAATATGTCATTTCAAGTTAATTATCTACATAATTAGTATTATTGTAATTTTTTTTTAATTGTGTGTAATAATATTTTTATTAATTGTGTACTAATAATTAGTAATAATTTTTTTTTTGTGAAAAATAATTGATTTAATTTTTGAAAGCAATAATACTTATTAATTATCTTATTTAGAAGAAATGAATTGAATATTATGGGTGATGTTCACCATAAATATAAAAATGTAAAATAAAATGCGAAATCAGATGTTTATCATCTATTCACACCTAGATTATTGCAAAATGACTTTTTGTCTCATAATTTATCGAATTAATGTAAAATAATGGGGATTAAAGAGTTGATGGGTTATTAGAAAATGACTTTTTATTTAATACTTATCAAGTGAATGTTAGTTAACATGATTTTATTTTAACAATTTTGTTTTATTTTCAATGGAATCTTTTAGGAATGCAATATTCTTTTAATATTTAATATTAAGTTTTAAAAAATTTAATTGTATAGATAATTTTTCCATTTTTATGAATTCTATATATTAATATTAATTGACTTAATAGTCTGTGCAATTTCATGCTAATTATATATGCAGTATTGTTATAATTTTTATTTTGTTTTTATATAGTTTTTATTAATCATATACTGATAATTAGTAATAATAGTGTTTAGTAGAAATTGATTGACTTAATTTTAAAAATAAACCATTTTAATTTTAATAATAATTGAATTTAGTTGAAATAAATTTAATTTTAAGGGTATTATTGACCATAAATAAAAAAATGTAAGAGGAAAATGGGAAATTAAAGATATAAGGATAAATGAGGGTATATTGGACCTATAGCTAAATATGTAAGGATAAAATTGATAATCAAAAGTCTCTCCTCAATCCTCATTTTTAATATATTGTAGATAGATATATAAAATCCGAGTGAGGTCTCATAATTCAAACATGAGTCCTTGAATTTTGTAATGCTCGGCTAAACATTTAGTCACTAGGACGTAGATGAACCATTTGTTATAAGGTTTTAATATTAATTAAAAAAATTTGACGTTTAACTTGTTTATCTTGGAATTTGATGGTTGTTATGATTATTAATTTTTTTAATCAATTTGCTACTAGTTAAATTGATGTGTAATCTTTATTTTATTTGAAAGAAAGAATAAGGAATATAGCACGTTATAACAATCATTATTCGATAGACGATAGAGCTATATAGCTAGACCATGCATTATTAAATTGAATGTTCTTGTGTTATTTGCTTATTTCAAAGAGATATAGGGTCGTTACATGTGAGGATAATTTTAATTTTACTCGAAGTCTTAGTGCTTGCATTTAATCAGGTTTTCAAATGCTCCATAGTTGCTCGTTGATGACTTTAGATGCTAGTTAAAAAGTAAATCAATCACAATTTGACAATTCAATTTGAGTTAGTATTAATTTGAACTAGATTAAGCACTTGATCCTCGAATGAACGATATCTTACTTCACACTTTATTACTCGACTAAGATAATGTCCACTTGCGAAATTTTAATGATCACATGTCTCTATCAGACTTAGATTGTCCAACAAACTTAAAATAACACTAAAGCCATATTAACACAGTAGAAATCAATTCTTGCCAATCGACCTAGTCAACCACAGTTGGACATAATGCAACAAATTCATAACAATATGAAGTTGTCGGTCTAAATAAAATAAAATGCCGTACATTACCAATCAATGCAGTCGCGCAAAACTAAATCGAATTTAAGTTACTTGATAATTACTCTTAAAAATAACTGGTTTCAATAGCTGTACTTAAAATTACAGAATAAATTTTTTTATTTTTTTTATTTTTTGCAATACCAGCAACAGCTTATCACATTACTAAACCACAATCAAAACAAAAAGGCGTATACAATCCATCCGTACACTAGTACCAATATCTAACAACACACCAAAAGCGAATTTTTGAACAACTTTATTTCCCTAATGGGGGGATAAAATTGTACGAAACACATTTTAATGAACGCAAATGTAAAATTTGCAATTGGACAGAGGTATTGGGGGACATAGACACAATATTTAATAAGAGTATTATGCTAAATAGTTTTAATAAATGAACCCCCAAAACATAACTGTCTACCCATACCTATAAAGGACGGGTAGAGAGCCACCGGCAAAACATTGCATGACATTCTTGAGGCTTGTACTCTGGTGCCGTATGTCCCGCTCCCTACAAAATAAAGCACACTTTTATTTCATGTCTTTCTTCTAATCATTGTGAGAAAGAATGTAGTCGAATTTGTCTTGCCTTGATTGTTGCAAATGTGAGGAAGAAGTCATTCTTCAAGTACTTCTCTGTGTATCTACAATAGGTAAATTATGTTATAGTTTCATAATATTTAATACAATATATATAAAAATGATCTACTAAAGATTGATACTTATATCAAGTACCGATGACATAGCAAATCAATTCATTGGTCCATAATGAATTTAATTCAAGTTTTGAAATCTGCCATGAACTTATTTAACAATGGTGTGATATGTCACGTCACCGGTACATAACAAATAATTTCTCTATATATATGATCAAGAATTAAAATCAACCCCGCGACTTGGCCATTAATATGCCAAGGTCTCCAATCATCATCAACAGTGAGATTAAGCATCCGAATCCATTTTAAAGTACCCATATATGGTCCAGCCATGTCATGATCACCGCTGAAAACAAAAAATAGCATAGTTAGATAGCATTTATTAAATTTAGGTATTTGTGTAGTTATATTTTTCATATAATGATCTTCAGTGAATTTTAGACCAACATATACTTTAGTTGACACATTAAACTTTGAAAAAACTTATTGACATACCTGAACACCAAAACATGGAATCCTTTCTTGATGAATCTTTTATGATATTCAAGAACACTTTCTATATTCTGTTCATAGGATAAGCTAAGATTGCACCTTTTCCACCTTGTTATCATTCCCTGATGATCGAATTATAAGATTACCCTCAATAATTTGATCAAATATATTGTGTTGCTTTTGTTGATGTCTAGCACATGGTAACGTGTACTAAATCTTTAATATTTTTCTATTTAACATACCTTTCTAATATGAAGAGCTTCTTGGACAATCAGATCATTTGCCCAATCTCTAGATGATAAATAATTTTGAGTCTGTCAAAAGAAACGTGTTCATGAGAAACTAGGCATGCTTTGCAAAGATAGCAAAGATAAAACACAGGGTTACTTTAATCTTCTTTTCTACAAAACATAAAGTTTTAAAAGTTTTATTATTATTATTATTATTATTATTATTATTATTATTATTATTATTATTATTATTATTATTATTATTATTATTATTATTTACTAACAAAGAAACTCTTATCTTACTTCGTAGAAAATTAACTTTTAAGCAACTGTGAATTGATATAAAAATAAAGGATTAGTTAAATTACACGACACCACTGTTTATCTTGTTTAGATGCTGGGAGGAGGAGGTGATCAATTGAATCGTTTTGCAGAAATGTATGATCCCATTCCAAATCGTCTGCTTCACAAAATGGTTCCAATATGTGAACTAGGTTGATATGTTGTATACACTGCAATATTTGATCATACCGTTGAACTTGTTTAGTGCTTGCAACCATAATAAATGTTAAGGAAATTAATAAAATGTGCAAAATGATACCTTGTGGATCCGTTGAAGGACATGAAGACATTGCAGATTATTTTGATCAGGATTGTAATATTTTCCTTTACAACTGATTTTTGCCAACTAAAATTGTGTCAAAGTAACTACATAAGAATAAGATTGAAATATGCTGCATTTTGTCATACAAAATAGTTGAATAAAAAAGATTACATCAAAATATTCATCTGATATAAGCGACATGCGATGAACATATGGAATTCGTTCATTAATATCAATGTTTGGATCCGTTAGTGCATTGCCGATGATATAGCCCTGTTTCAATTTTGAAAAGTGCTCGACCATTAGCAATAAATAAATTATACTATTGACAAATAAATAAGGGAAAAAATTCATATATTTGTGTGAGATAATTAATACATGGAGGGACATCTGTGGCTCTAGTCCTTGTTTGTTTCCTGCATTACATGAAGACTATCAACTTACTAAAAATCAAATAAAATCGTATGAGTTTAATTTTTATTTTTATTTTTAATTATACAGTACCTCGTAATATTTCCATGGCAACGAGGGGAACAAGTTTGGCTCCATAGGATTCACCCGCAAGATATAAACGATTTTTGATAAACAAAGGATGGCTCAATAACCACTGCATTATTCTCAATACATTGTTAGTTCACTACCTCGAGAAAAAGGTGAGCAAAAGCATATAGGTATGAAAGTGTAAGGACTACTTTTGAGTTTCACTCCCAACTTCATTTCTATTGCATTCAATTTATGCTCAGGACTACAACATCTATGATTAATAATGTTAACATACCTTCCTAAGAAATGTGTAATTATCTTTCACTGATTTGGTGTCCGAATTAGAGTAACCTTCTGAAGTGTTTGCATATGAAAATCCAGTACCAGCTGGCCAATCTATGAATATAATATTGGCAACCTAAAACCACATAACTATGTTATAAACAGAGAGCTAATGAAGACATGTATACATGATTTAAAAAATGCATGAAGTGAGAAATGTTTGTGACCTTGGTCCATGAATATGGATTCAGGAGAATAGCGGGTATGTTTCCATCAAAATTTGTAACGTCAAAAGTAAATGGACCTACGCACAATCTCATCAATTGGTGTGAGAATAATAAAGTTATATTTACAAATTATAATTAGAATCATCAAAGTAATAGTATTCAGTATTCAGGGAATTTAAACGTCAAAAACTACAAAGTTACAATAATACTTTTTGCAAGTAAAAGGTTGAGGACAAAAATTACCCATGGGGTAAAATTCAATGACGATTGCAGTTGATTTCTCTTATATCTACTTTGCAAAGTAAAATATAGCCCAGACAAGCAGCCCCTGCCCAAGCCTAGATCAAAAATCAATATGCAAAAATTTATTGTGAAAATTACAGCCTTAGGAGTTTTAATCTTTCTCTTTCAAAATTAAGATTTACATTTTTTTTCAAAAATCAGATCATAATTAAAATTTTAAGTATTAATAATTATAATACATTATTATTATAAAATTAAATTAATCTATATAATCCACCCACCACACCCCAATTTCAAAACCCCAAATCTTTCTCATTCCTCTCTCTCTCTCTCTCTCTCTCTCTCTCTCTCTCTCTCATCCTCTCTTTACTAGAGATGTCACAGCACTGGCGAATTATTCTCCTCTTTCTATTGGAAGCAACACTCTTTCTTTTTCTTGATTTTCACAACAGTGTTGCGGCTACTACTGACGCTATTGTTCGCAGCAACGTCGGTGCTACTGCTGACGCTGTCGTTCGCAGCAACGCCTGCAACAACGTTGGATTTGGGTTTGTAAAGTAGCGCCATCACCAAACTACCATTTTCAACTTCACCATGGCACCAAGCAAAAGTAGCGCCATTTGATTTTTAAAGTTTTAAACCTTCTTTCTTAATTTTGAAATGAATCATAATTAATTTTTTAGATGTGAAATTTTTTCAAATATATTTCTTATATACTATGGCCCAGCCTATTCTTAAAATAGCCAACCCAATGCCCAATTGCACATAACCTGTCATCCCATACCCATAACATGCAACTCCTCCGCCCAATTTAATAACCTAAAACCCAAAACCTATTTAGCCTTAATTTTACTTCGTATTCTAATTTCTAAAACATTGAGAACTTGAACCATAGAGTTCCCATCTCTTGATTATCGTAACCAATTGCAAAACTGTACCAGCGACAATTGTAATTGCAAAGGTACACCGAAAATATTGCACCATCAAAGCCGGCTAGGGAATTGTCCTTCGTAGTTGTTGAAATCCAATCCCCATAGCAAAAACTGTATAGGCTAAGGCTTTCAAGGTGCTTGAGTGTCTTAATCAACATTCTTCAACAAAAAGGATCCTAGGATGAAGCTACTGGTGTTTACGGAAACTTTCCAAATTCCAATCTTAAAATTTTTGTTCTTGCATTAAATGCATAAAATTTTGAGACGTTCTTTGTTAACTCCTTCCAAGAAAATCTTCAGACGTCTTGACTGCTTGGAGATTTATCTTCAATACAAAATCTCTCCTTCAACAGTTTAGAGAAGGCGTTTGGGAAGAATTTCCATAAAAGTGATAACTTTAAAAAAAAAAAAAAATAGATTTAGATTGTATTACAGATAAATTTTATGCTATAAAAATCATCACAGCTCCACTTTGGTAGATAATGTCATACTTCGACCTTTCTATTATATATAAATTTTATTTGTCGATTGACTTTTTTCAAATTTCAACTGCCCAATAGGAACCATAAAATTATGATACGTGTCTTCGCATAAAAACTAAATTGTTGTGTCATTTCTAACCTTTGTGACTTTTTACAATTTTATCCTTAACTTTATTCATCTTCAAATTTAAAATTTAAAAATGATAAAGCAAAAAGTTGTCTAGCCTCGACCACGAGCATGGCCACAGACCAATCGATCTCTAGACAAACCCATCAAAAATGACACTGGTCGGGAACCTTTTTTCCAACCTCCACGACGTGACACTCAAGAATTTGGGTAACCTCAAGGTCGTATCCTAGCCTCAAGATGACTCTCCAAAAGACAGTTTGAGCTTGAGTTCCACCTCTAGCTTGGGTCATAATCACCAAAGTAAAGATCTAACATTTGCCTTCAACCAAAACCTAGTAGCATTTCTTCTACAAGAAACTACATGGAGAACGCGAGCCCAATTCATACATTAAATTATATTTGGATTCGTCTTTTTGTAGTACCAACTCCAAGAGATTTAACACGGTTTGGGAGGTGTTCAACTCCAACCAAGACTACATTAAAAGCACTGTAAATACACACTATTTGTCCCTTCTCATATAGTATGTTCTCCTCTCATCATATTTCCAATCATTGAAGGGGAAGTGAGAACACATTTTGACTTCTTTGTTTTTAAGTACTAGAAATTAGTTTTGTCGAAATTGTTGCTCATTCCACACTGAGCCCCTATTTGGTTCCCATTCTTTTCTCATTAAAATTAAAAATATGACCGTTATCCGTCACATCAAACCACCAAATTTGAATTTATATTTCTTGTGTGAGGCCAGTAACGACTATATTTTTCATTCTCATTCTTTCCAAAAATGATAAACAAACGAAGGCTAAATTCAGGTTGTGTATTACTAGGTGCCATTTTTGGTAGCGTCAAAAGGCATAATTGTCCATACTCATGGTTTCTATTTAAAAAAGAGTTGGTAACAATTTTTTGTTAAAAAAAATAATAAATATTAGAATATACAATCATCTTCTCAACTCCACCTACCCAAAGCAAACGCAGCCCACCTCCCTTACCCCTATCCCTTGTAACAGTCCTAAACCCCACCCTTTCGTTTTATGAAGAAAATCGTCTTTTCAGTGAAGAAAATGATTTATTTGTGCAAACATTGCAAATGGAGAGGGAATATGCTTTGAAAAATAAAATAAAATAAAGGCCAAAAAGTTCATAATAAGTTGAAATCGAAACCTCACATATTATCCAGCAAAAATTTAAGGGTCAGCATTTTTAGAAGGGCACTGATGAAAAAGTAAAATTCTAGCGAAGAATTTGACTTCCCCGGGCCCTCCTTGTCGTACCCATATTTTGATTAAAAATATCACCTCCTATCGTAAGCCAACACCCACTAACATGCAATATATTAAACCTTTAATTTTTAATTCAATTCTATCTTTTCATATTTTTTATTTTCAAGTAAATTGTCATTTTATATGTCACATCTAACAATAATTTTTTTTAATATTTTAACTTATTTTCGTCATATATAAAGTTAAGTCACCATTAATTTATCTCAATAAGTTTACTTTTGATGTATACTATCAACTTTTTATATTATCTAATTTCATATGATCATACATCCATCTAACCTTATAACTTTTTTAGTTGAGTTCATCTTAAAGATTTCAAGTAAATCCATCTAAAAAATAAACTCAAGCCAAGAGACACGAACACTAACAGCAACACTAGGCTCCAACATTTTTCTCAATCACCAGTAAACCTCTTGCAGAAATATCATAACACAAACATATATGCATACATATATTCACAGAGTGATATACCAATTTCATAAACGAGGGATGATAAACCAGAGCAACCAGGTCCACCAGTGATCCAAAGCAAAAGAGGGTCATTTTGAGGATTGTTTTCAGACTCAATGAAATAGTAGAATAGTTGCACTTCATCATTTCTTCCCACACCAATGTATCTAATCAATCATTTGAACAAAAATTATTATAATTTTGCAAAGATTCAGTTTCTTGAATTTACTTTATATTTGATAATTGGATTGGAATGGACAAGTTAAAATCTTGTCAACCCTCTAGTATTATGTACCAAAAGGAAAACAAAGAATGAATGAACTGACCCGGTTTCGAGTTTGAACGGCAAAGTACCCGAATAACCCGGAAGTGTCTTGACAATATGTGATGCTCCATTGTTGAAGAGTAGCAGAAGAAGAAGCGCATACAACCATATCCTCTTCATAATGATCAACCCCAGAAATTAAACAGCTGACAAACCTATTTAAATTTAGGAAAATTTGTAGCAAAGACCCCAAACCTTTATAACATTAGCAGACTTTCCCCAAACCTTTATTTTGTTGTAATCATCACCCAAAATCTTTCAAAACATTGCGGTGGAAGCCCTTTTGGCGGTTTTCATCCAATTGTTTATTACTTGACTAAGAAATTTAACTTTGACCACATTTTTAATATTTTTGAAAGGACAAAATAGTAACTTTCCATTTACTACATTAAGTGCTTGTTTGTGCCCCATTATTTGTAAGTAATGTATTATGGAATAGTGATTAATGTTAAAATGTGTGGTTAAAAAAGAAGAAAAAATTTTTGATTTATATGTAATACAATTTTAATGAAAAATGTGTACTTGAAAATGAGTACTGTAGAAAACATAATTTGATGGAATATGGTAGAATGGTAGACAAACAAAGCCTAAAATAAGTTAGAAATTAAATTGGAAAAAAAATAAGAAATAAGAATTAAACTATGAAAGGGTAAAATAGTAACTTTATCTGTAAACAAACGCAGTCTTCTGTTCGGCCACCATCACTAGGTATGGAAACGCCACCGTATCAAACTCTTGGCCGTTCATAATTAGCTAAATCTCTCATCTTCACCATTTGATAGCCTCTTTCAAAGCTTGCTCACACAGTTTTCTTTTATAAATACCCTCGACTACATCCCCCCTACCCTCGGCCTCGTCTCCAGCCTCACCCTCCTTTTGTCCTCAAAATCCCAAAAATTTTTATCTGGTACTAAGAATTTTGATGAAGATATTGGGGAATGGATTTTATTTACTATCCCAACACCGTTTAATCGGTTTGTAACACTACATTGCCCTTCAATTTATTTTCAAGGGAACGAATTGCTTGAAAATGGTAATGAAAAGCTTCTTAAAGAGCACAGACATTTCCTGAGATTGAACCGTGGGAGAATGCATGGAGTGGAGAATTATGGTGAATTTGATGTGAAATTTGTATATCAGAGGGTTTGTGTGAATACAGAGGATGGTGAGGTTGTGTCCCTGGATTGGTTGGAAGAGAGCGGATTTGATGCAACTGTGTTGGCGGTGATGGAGGTGGCAGTGGCTGATTTTGGGGTGGGGTGGGAGGAAGAAGATGATTTTTTTTTTCTAATTTAATTTTTATCTTATTTTAATGTAATAAATGGAAAGTTACTATTTTACCCTTTCAAAAATATTAAAATTGTAGCCAAAGTCAAATTTCTTAGTCAACTAACGGACATTTAGATGAAAACCATCCAAAAGGGCCTCCATCTCAACGTTTCGAAAGGTTTGGAATAATGGTTACAACAAAACAAAGGTTTGAGAAAAGTCTGCTAATTTTATAAAAGTTTGGAGCCTCTGCTGCAACTTTACCTTAAATTTATAAGGGTTGGTATTGACCTTTGGAGTTTGATACAGTCGTATTTGAACTTTTAGGGACAGAAGTAGACCAGATGCGTGACAATCATAGAATTACTACTTAAAAGTTTATATAAATACTAGTGAAGGCACGTGCTTTGCACGTATAGTAGGTGATGTAGTGTAAGTAATATTGTTATAATTTGGTTATGTAGTATTTGAATGAAAAATGAGACCTATTTTGAATGACAATTAAATTAGATTATATAAACTATTTCCTT